GGTGACATACCGGCGTCCTTGCCGACGCTCCCGAGAGCGACGCTAAAGTCCTTGTGGGCGATGAGGTTCTGGTTGTACAGGGCGTCGATGAAGCCCGTGTAGTTCTGGTTGTACCCGGAGCCGTAGGCGACGCCCATGATGCCGGTCTCCATGTTCGAGGCCCAGTTGGCGACGCCAAACTGGACGGGCTTCTCCAGGACCATGGGCGGCTCATAGGTGGTCTCGGGATCTGAGCACGGTCAGTCAACGCCCCCCATCCCCCAAGGTCCAGAACCAACTAACCGTTGACGCGAATCGTGTCTCTGTAGTAGCTCACAAACACGGCACCGCTGCCGTACGAGATCCAGCTGTTCGGGCACAGCTTCGGGTCCACGTGGAAGCCCGTCTGCGAGTGCATGGGCAGGTACTGCCCAAACTCCCGGCACTCCTGCTCAAAGATGGGGATGCCCGACAGCGGCGTGCACGGCGGCGACACCCACGTCTCGGACGAGCCCGTGTCAAAGTCGAGCGTCACGGCCTGCTCGGGGAATCCGATCCAGACTGCCACCACTGGTCAGCGGGCAGGTAGAAGATCCGGGGTCTGCGGAACTCACTCTTGACACCGTACGCCACGTCCGTCAGCATGGCCGTCGCGTTGACCCGCGCCGGCGCCGGCGTCTGCTTCGGCGTCGGCGTCGGCTCGGAGGCCCCAGAGGGGAAGCTGAAGCTGAAGCCTCCGTCACTGATGGTGCTGCTGGGGCCGTCGTCGCTGATCGGGACGAAGCTGCTGCTCGAGCCGAAGCCGGTGACGCTCGTGAGGGCCATTTCGTCGTCTATCACTATCGTCGTGGCGCGCGCCATTTCGTCTATCACGATCGTCGTGGCGCGCCTGTCGACCGCCGCCGGCTCTACGAGGTCGTCCTCCGCGGGCACCAGGTTGTGCTTCGGGGACCGGCGCCGCATGTCCAACCGGACGAACCTGGTGCCGGGGGCGTCGGCGGTGCCGTCCTGTCGCCATTCCCGCGGCTCTCGCGCTGAGCGGCGGATTGTCCCGGGGTGGAGACGGAAGTTGGGCGCGGCGAGGGCCAGCGGGAGGGCCAGCAGGGCCATGAGGAGGGGGGCGGTGTGCATGGTGGCGAGGATGCAGCCTTTGAAGCTGGCCGCGAGCTAGAGAGAGTGCTGTGCTGGAGGGGGGGAAACGAGGGGAAGGGGAGCAGTGCAAGGGCTGCTGCTGGCTGAGGGCGAGAGACACATGCACCAGGCTCGGTCCTTGCGAGACGGGGTATATATGGGGGACATCTTGTCGGTTCCCTGGTCCCCCCCGCCCAGCGACTTACACAACCTGACGGCCCCTGGGTGCTGCTGTCAGTCTTGGCACCGGAACGCTCATTCATCACGACAGGCTCTTCTGGGCCGATGGCTTGTTGTTGTTTGGGTCGTGCTAAGGCAGACTCACCACGGCCCCGGTGGTCAATGTACGCCATCCGCCATACGGCGCGCTCATCCGACCGACCAGACCCTCTCTACAAGGCCGTACCTGCTTATGCTGGGCGGGCATCCAGTGCTCCTCCCGAGGCCAAGGGCGAGGTGTCACGGCGCACAGGTTTGCCCTTCAATCTGGCATGGTGCTACACAGGTCCGGGTATGCAAGAATGCGACGGGGGGCCCGGACCCCTCGCCGTCAACCCAGGGCCAAGAGGCCATATATATCACCGTCTTTTCCAGCTTGCGGTGGGCGGACGGGATCACGACACGACACGGCCAGCTCGACGAACACGCAGCGCAGCAAACTTGTGAGGTTTGGCCTCGGCCTGGCATTTATGCTGGCGTCTGGTATCACGGACGAGACAATCCAGTCCCCCCCCCCCTGCTCGTCGCCCCCGTATCCCCTGCGTATGGTGCCGGCTGTGCCCGCCATGTCGTGACGCCAAAGTCCCAGGCCCTCTTCCCCTTGCAGCAGCTTGCAGAGGCCGGCATCTCGCAGGCGGGGCACGATCGATCCCCCAAGCAGGGCACGGCAGTCGTCGTGTGCCACCGTCCCCCGTCCCAGGGACAGTCTCGGTCATACCATGCGTCCTGCGGTTTCGTCGTCATCCCCCTTCTCCTGTCGCCGGTGGTACTGCAGCTCAAACTCGCTGACCCTCTGAATCTTCCCCCCTGCTGCTGCCGCACCCGGGGGGGGCCTCGGTGGCGTGTTGGTCTCCCCTGGCCTCGCCGCAAACGCAGCTCCGCGGTAGCTGTCCCTCCGCAGGTCGAGCGTCCACCGATGTTGGCCCTTTTCCGCCTCCCCACTCGGTCGGGACCCGTTGCTGCTGCTGCTGCTGCTGCTCGCGTCCCGCTTGTGGCGGGCCGTCTCCTCGTCGTCGGGTGCTGACCCGGCACCAGCACCACCACCACCACCGTCGCCGGCCTGGACGTATCCGTAACGCTGTCGTGTCAGGCTGCGTACCTCGCGGATGAGCACCCGCAGCAGGGGCACGGATGCGGCGCAGATGGTGATGGCCACCTCGGCGCCGCCCCAAATTACGAGGTCATACCCCTCGTCTGTGATGCGCACGCCAAGGGTCAGTACGGGCATGTCCTGGGTGCCTGAGTAGAAGAGGGCACGTACAGGTAAAGTCGCCGCCCAGCACGAGCGGGATCTTGGTGCTCTTGACAAAGGCCGCACAGCCGGCGCTGCAAGATGAGGTGGGTGAGCGTCTGCTGCTGCCGTGACGGTTCGCACCAAGGCACGGGGGCGGGGGGACTCACAACACGCCCATGCTCATGGCCAGGGCGACGCCCATCTTTTCCTTGCGCTTCATCTGCAGCTTCCAGATGATTGGCCAGGGGAGCAGGGCGAGGACAATGTCCATGACGCCCGAGTACGCTGGGGGGTCGGGCATGTCAGTCACGACCCGGGGACAGGAGGACGGGAGCGAAAAGACTCACCGGCCGCAAACACCATGTAATACACATTCACCCGCGGGTCCCAGCACCACCGGCCCGCCGTCACGGCCACGTCCCGGCCGCCACGGGGCAGCGGATCGCACTGCACCCACGAGATGACGATGCTCGCCGACACGGCGGCGTTCATGCTCACCATGACGAACCACACGGCGGCTTTGGTGCGGCCGTCGGTGATGCGCAGCAGCGTCATGCCGAAGGAGGTCTTGCTCCAGACGGCGCCGAGGAAGGCCAGCGAGGTCGAGACGTTGCTGAGGAGGCCGATGGTGGGGAGGTGGGCGGGGGGGATGTCGGAGAGGTGCATGCCGAAGCCGAGGTCGAGGTTGATGGTGTTGATGGTGGTGTCGGCGACTAGGGCGAGCTGGGGAGGCGGGGTCAGCGGGTTAGGTCGGAGGGGGGAGGGAGGGGGGGGAAGTACCCAGGCCATGATCAGGACGTGGTCGTCCCACCAGAGGCCGCGGCCCGGGTTCTTGAGGTATTTGCAGTAGAGGCGGAGGGAGAGGAAGAGGCCGGATACGCTGACGAGGACCCAGCAGACGATGCGCATTAGGGGGCCCATGGACTCGACTGTTTCTCGGGCGGTGGCGGCGCCATTGCCGGGGCTGGGGAGGGGGTTCATGTTGGTGTGGGAAGGGGAATGGAAAAGGCAACCTGTGCCGCGCGCAGCGCAGAAGGGGAATTAAAAGGATGGGATACTTCAAGTGGACGAGGCCATGACGAGAGGAAGAGGTGAGAACAAGTCAACAACGACGACGAGGAGGAGGCATGGAGATCTTGTATCGGCATGAACAACCCGAACAAACGTCCGAGTCGTGGAGAAACAAATCAAATCAACGGACCCGCGGAGTTGAGGGGGATCACCAGCGCATTCTGGGTTTTGCTTCATGGCCTTTTGGATGGACCGGGAGTGGCGACAAGGGTAAATGGGGATCTCTCACAAGGACCGTTGATGGGACGGGAGCGGTTGGGGTGCGGTGCTTGGTGTTTTCTCCGCAGACACGGGAGGATGTTTCGACGGAATCGGGACGGGCATGGTCGGCCGGTGCCGAAAGGGGTGGGAGGCTGGGAGCCAAGGGGCGGTGGACGGGTTGGGTGTAAGTCATGCCCTGGGTTGACCGGAGAGTTGTGCTGATCGTGGTCTATTCCCGGATTCTTTTGCTTTATAAGACGGGTTGAGGCGAAGGTTCATGGTTTTTTTTTGGCATTTGGAGATCAATGACTCTATGAAAGAAATAGGTAACATCCATGGCGCTCCGATCTGCAGAGTTTAAAATTCGAAGAGAAGGGATGTTCACCTGCAGAGAAGTCTGTTGTGATCACCATCCTCACCCCAACTTGACAGCACACAGACACTGCGATTTCATTTGTCACTTGAACAATGTCTACCCCTCATTACCTGTCTTCATTAGCGTTGATGGTTCGCCGTATTTGGCAAGTCGACGGAATGCTCCCGGCGATCAAACACCCTGGGACTGACGACAACCTTGGTTCCAGACTTTGGGGAACGTCAAGAGGCGGCACGCTACCCCGCAAAATGGCAACCACCTCTCTTTCACGGATTTGTAACACTCTTCTGATTTGGCGATTTGAAAAGATGATGTGGGTTGAGGGTGAGCTTGTGACGCTGGAGAGGACTTAAAGACCTTTGAACCTGGATTACTACACCTTACCACTCCGACCAAGTACCCTTCTCATCATCTCCACGTACTCGCATTCTTCTCACGGGGAACTCACGGACGTTATACAGCTTGTACTATGTTTCTCTTCACTTTACCCGTTTCCACCGCCCCAAATGTTTGGGTCTGACAACCAGGAGGCCGCGACCACGAACCATGATTCCCACCGCCCAACGCATTATTCCGGGACGGTCTGCCACATCCCTTTGCGTCAAGGGTGTCGAATGCGGGGGATTCTCCGTTGACAGTTTCCTGGTCCCTGGAGGTATAACAGGCGGGATATCGCCCAGCCGTCGAAGAACATCAACACCTCGCCACGACCCCTGAATTGTCTCTTCAACAAAAAGGAAACAGAACGTCCAGCCACCCCCCATGCAGGGAGAGACGGACAAAAAGATGGGGGCCACCCGGGGATTGAACCCGGGACCTCTCGCAATGTTTTACTTTAGGGTGAACCCTAAGCCTGTGGAGTGTTAGAACGGTGAACCCGCATATGTGGAGGACATGCAATGTAATGACTTACGAGAATCATACCACTAGACCAGCGGCCCGTACATGGATCGTGTCCATTTGTTGGTGGGAAGGGCTTCGGTAGGTGGCATCATCTGGCATCGACGACATCAAGCAATGAACGCATTCAATATCTATCTGAGACTCTGTCCTCTAACTGAGTCTGACTCTGACATCCCCAACACTCTCGAGCCCTACAAAAAAACAACCAGGGTATATCCACCGCTCCCTAATCATAAACCGACGCCTTCGACCACTCATACCTCGCCCGAATCCTCTTCCCAAACAAAAAAAACACAAACGGCACCGGAATCAACAGCGTCGCGAACCCGCCCGTAATCGACGACCCCGGCCCGACCCCCAGGTTGTGGTACAGCGGCGTGACAATGAGCGGGAACGCGCACGCAAAGCACGACCGCAGAAACGTATTAGCCGCCACCGCCGACGCCGCATACAGCTGGAACGTATCCACCAGGTAATTCAGCGCCGCCTGGAAGATGGTGAAGAACCCGCCCCCCAGCATCACCAGCCCGAGACACGGCACCGTCCAGTGGATGTCGGGTCTCGCCGTCCACCCGACGATGAACTGCCCGCCGGCGAAGAAGACCGACCCAAACATCATCGGCGGCAGCCGCTGCTCGGGGACGGCGCGGTCCCCCGCGGCGTGGTACGCCCGGTTGTAGCCCAGCTGGTTGTAGACGTTGGCGGCGCAGCCGAGGACGGCACCGAGGAATATGCACAGGAACGGCAGGGTCGCGACGAACGGCGACCACCCGCGCACCTCGTGGAAGATGATGGGGATGGCGCCCAGCTGCATGTACAGGATGCCGTAGCAGAAGCTGGCGTACAGGGCGACGAGGAAGCAGATGGGCGTGAGCAGGAGCTGGACGGGGCGGACGAGGAACTTGCGCGCCAGCTCGGCCGCGCTGACGTCCCACTCCTCGAAGCGCGCGTGGAGCGCCCAGTTGCCGGTTTCGACGCGCAGGCGGCGGGCCTTGTGGACGAGGAGCGTGGGCGGGTAGGTCTCGTCGATGAAGGTGATGGCGAGGAGGAGCATGCCGGCTTGGAGGATGCCGGTGAGGTATTCGGTCCAGCGCCAGCCGAGGGTGGGGTGGGCGACGAGGGCGGCCGAGGCGATGGGTCCTGGATGTGGTGCAGTGTGTTAGTCGTGCCCTCAAACAGATGGGGTGTGAAGAGAACTCACCCAGCACCGGGCCCCCAACAACAGACATCGCATACCCCGCCAGCGCCACCCCCCTCTCCTTCGGCCCAAACAGATCGCCCAGCACGCCCCCCGTGTTCGTCACCGGCGCGCTCAGGAATAGCCCCCCAAAGAACCGCGTCAGCATCAGCGTCTGAAAGTCCCGCGCCGTCGCGCTCCCGAAGCTGAAGCACATGCCCACAAACATGGGCCCGAACACCGCTAGCCGCCGTCCATATACCTCGCTCAGCGGCGCCCACATCAGTGGGCCGATCCCGAACCCGGCGAGGAAGAGCGAGGTACCAAGCACCGCGACTTGCCTGTCCACGCCAAAGTGCTCCGCGACTTGAACAGTGCCGGCCGAGTAGGAAGAGGACGCCCAGGTCGCCGACATGGCTAGTAAGCCATAGAGGAGGGTGGTGAGGATCTTTTTGCCGAGGGGCCAGTTGCGGGGCTGGTAGGGGTCATCTGGGCCGTCAAAGTCGACAAGAGACGAAGTCGAGGTGGGGATGTGCGAGAGGGGGTGGGCGAAAGCCGGGATGGCCGGGCGGCGGCGAAGTCGGGCGAGGAGGGTGGTGGGGCTGCGGGAGACGGTCCGGGTGGAGGACTTGCTGAGGCGGATCTCGGTGAGGCTGGGGCGGAAGCCGTCGTAGTCGGAGCTGCTGGGGTCGTGGGAGATGACGGTGGTGAGGTTGACGTCGTCGACCGTGTCTGACTCGGTGTCGGGGTCCGAGATGGGGGGTTTGGGCTCGTACTCGGGAGGGGTGGTGGCCATGATTGTTTGATCAGGGGGGCCGGTGGTGTTGAACGACAGGTAGTACTAGATGTACAATGACAACATCAAAAGGCAAATGTATTCGATCTGGATGGGTGGAAGGGTTGATCAAGTGTCAACGGTCTTGAAGGCCGGCTGTGAACCGCCGAAGATTGCGTCTCAGCCAGGCCATAGTGACGACTTTCTTTTCGAGATAACCCGAACAAACGACCTCAGTGAGACTGGAATGGGCCCAGGCGAGACTGGACCGAGAAAGTCTATGAGGTGGAGTTGACAAACGGGATGCCATCTGCCTGTTTGAACACCGGATGATTTTTTTCTTTCCTGCCCCCGGTGTTCGCTGACAGGGTTGGTGAGTCCCTTGTGTCTTTTCCTTCACGGGGATATGTTCAGGTGCTGGGACGAACTGGCTGGTCTTGTCTCCACGATAAAGGCGTCCTCTCGATGTCAAAGCCGAACCAAGCTCGGTCGTCTTCCGTGTTTCCGGGGCGGGGGCCTGGTCGGTGTCCGGTCCCCGGTCCGAACTCTGGAGCTCCGAACCGGTCGGAGCGCACAAATAGCAAGTTTCTGTGATTCGGGCTATGTTAGGACCGTCGAGGACTTGATTCAGAGCCCACTGGCAGGGAAGACTTGGGGTGGAAATGAGAGCCGAACCTTCCTACCCCCGGGCCGTTTGGACAGCACCAGCAGCATGTCCCGTTTGGGCCTGGGCAACCCTTTCCTTTTGTGGTACCTAGGTAGTACCAAACCGGCATTACCACCAACCATACCCTTCGGTCTGGTCCATGATTTCGCTCATCGCTGTGCTTTCTTCGCGTCGATCTCGGCGTGCTTCGACTTTGGCCTTGACTGCCGCAGGTATTCCTGCTATGTTCGAACATGGTTATCAACAAAGTCGATAATCGGCTGGATGTACGTCTCCACCCCGGAACGGACGGATCCTGCCAAAAGTAGAAGGAACTCACTAATCCCTGTATAATCCGTACCCTAGTTATTAGATGATCCTTTTAATACTACTATGGCAGTGCATCTCCTAGTGGCAAAGTACAATACCAAACATAGGGAAGCGAGTACAAACACCGACGGGATGGAAGCCTGAGATCACCACTGCCTGGTTGGGTAAATCACGCAATCATTTGACGACTTTCTGGGGTGGAAAATTAAGAATTCGTCACCAGATACAACATCCGATGGCGCATTCCAGTGTTGTCCAAGATGCACACGACGAAACAAGTCGCAAGCCCCCGACTTGTTTGTAACTAGGTACTACCAAAGTAATTACTGTACTTGAGATCTATAAAACGTAAATATGTTCGGCTCAGGGAATTGTTAGTTGTAGGTACTAGCTGCACGAGCTGATAGGTCTGCCGGCGGGACTGCTAATAAACGGCTAGTACCAGTAGCTCTTTTCTATTTACGGCACGTACTAAGAACTGACTATTACCCACAGGTTACCCACAACGACCGCCGGTACCTAAGCTTAGAAAATTGGCTCCTTAGCGGTTGGGGAACTTTGCGCCGCGACATGCCGACGGCTAATGCTCTAGTGACATGCCGACGGCGAATGCTCCAGTGACATACCGACGGCGAATGCTCTAGTGTAATCCCCCCGAGCGATCTACCTGATGTCGAGAGTTATGTTGGATTTGTATAAGAAGGGCGAACGATGGCCGAGTTGGGGGAATGAAACTTGATATCCTTATCCTCACCCTTACACTCGCTTTTACTTCTCTTCGACTGACATCTTTCACTATGTCTCGCACATTTCTTCTCTTCGCCGGCTTGATCGGCTTCTCGGCCGCGGCTGCTATCAACATGACGGCCGACTTTCAGCTGGCCGCGCGGGACAACCTCGACAACCTTCCGCTGTGCGCCACTTACGCCGACAAGAAGTGGCAGCCCGCCCTCGACTTTGACAAGGACAGCTGCTACAACGTGGCGGCCATCAGCCCCTCGGGCCAGGTCAACGGCGGGCTCAACGTCGTGGGCGTTGCCGGCATCACCAGCGGCTGCCGCGACCGACAGGACGTCGAACGGACTAATGTCTACTCCCGAACGCGCTGCAACCACGGCTGGTGTGCGCACATGTACGGGTACTACTTTGAGAAGGACCAGTTGACCGAGATTGGCGGCGGCCACAGGCACGACTGGGAGCATGTCATCGTGTGGACCAAGAACGACCAGATGCAATACGTCTCGGTCTCCCAGCACGGTGAATACATAACCCGCGGCTATCAGCACGTCCAGAGGGATGGCACCCACGTCAAGATCGTCTACCATAAGGACGGTGGACGCACCCATGTCATGCGACTCGCCAACGCGTCCGACGGTGGCGCCCAGAATCACCTTGGCAGATGGACTGTAAGTCTTTGAGCGCATGCAACGCAGTCTCGAGTTGACCACCGACACTAACACTCTTGTCACAGTACGGCACCCTCGTTAGCTACTACGGCTTCCCTTCCATCTCGCTCCGCAGCAAGTTGATGAGCGCGGGTTTCGGCGATGCTTCGATTGACTTCAACGATGCTCGCTTCATGGACAGCCTCAACAAAGGCCGGCCCACTCCGGCCTTCAACCAGGGATTCGACTGCGGCCGGGACGGCCCGGAGGATATCCATAACTCTCCTGGTATTCCCGAGGGCGGCTGTGGTGTGCGCAGCTAGATATAGGGCGCATGTCTACCCAACATTTCGAGCTTTTTCTTTGTCAATTTCTGGCCAGAGACGGGCAAGGGCGCGGGGTGTACTTCTTTTCTTGGCGGGACAAATTGGTATTGATGTATATTAATGGAGGGAAAGTACCCTTTAAGTTTCCAGTTATAGACTATGCTTTTCGGTTTTTGGGTACTGCGTGTAAATAACACTTTTACGTTCTATGCTGCCTGGCATGTCTTTGAACCCATGCCTCCGTGACGCAATCGCTCTCTGCATCCGGTCTGTTTTCCACTTCCTTGAAACATCTTCTCCGTCAACGTCCCCCGAGCATGCGATAACGCACATCACCCCTACGAGCATACTCCTAGCAACTCTTGGGTGTTTTTTTTCAATGTCAGGCTTGTGTTGATT